CGCAGCCAATTTCATACGCAAATGCGAGGCCGCGGGAGAGGATGTCCGTCGTCGTCGAGGGATGTCCGTCCGTCGTCGGGCGTGGTCCACTGGCGGCGCAAGGAGGCCCGCGATGCTGCGCTGCGAAAAGAGGCGCGGAGGTTCCTTTTCGAAATTCGAATTTCAAACCGTCGGCCGAGGTAAAGGCGCGCCGTGGCGTCACCACCCCTGGAGCTACCAGTGTGCGAAATGTGTGCGCGGACAATTTGCGGCGCCCATCGCTGTTGGCGACTCGTTTATCCGATCGTCAGCCGGCGCGGCGCGAAAGGTGACGATGTTGGAGCGCGTGAAGTGGTGTGTGTCCCGCCTTCGTCTTCCTGCAGACGACGACGATCCGGTGGCTCGCCATAGCTTCACGCGCCCGTCATTCGTGTACGAGGGTCCACTCCAACGTCCGTTGGGACAGTGTGTGACGAGGGTCCAGTCCTCCGTCTGTTGTGGTTGTTGAACAAGGCGCCGTCGGGGCATCGTGATGGAACACGTGTCGCAAGAGGTTCGTGGCAAGACCTTGAGCAGGGTGGAGAGAAATGCGGTGGTTGCAGCGGTGTCGGCGGTGGCCATGCGATGTCGCATCGAGAGAACGACGGCGCGGTTAAGGACGAGAGTGTCTATCCGCAGGCAGCGTGAGCTCCTCCACCACGTGATGGCGGCGCCAGACTGCGTGTCCATGTCCGAATCCATTACCCAGTTCTGCGCCGCCATGTCATCTGGGGCGATACCGCGGGCGACTCCAAGGTGGTGGATGCGGAGAAGGACGGGTGGCACGTGGGAGGATTTGCGGAAGATGGACGACGCCTCGGATGAGTACTACAAAGAAACGTTGAGGATGACCCCCAGGGTGTTCATGGAGATCGTGGAGGCGTTGTCTCCTCTTCTGCAGCGGCGGGTGACATTCTACAGAGTTCCTTTGCAGCCGGATCACATCATCGCGTATGCGTTGTACCGATGGGCGAGCGGTGAGACGTACGAGAGCAGCACGTCGTCATTCGGAATAGGGCGTGCATCCGGGTTGATCGCAGTGGAGGACGTTACGAGGGCGCTCCTGAGGGTGTACAGTGACAAGATCGTATGGCCTACTGGGATGCGTTGTACGCTCGTTCTGCGTGCCTTCGAGGCGAAGGGCTTTCCCAACTGCTATGGCTGCATAGACTGCACGCACGTTTACATCGACAAACCGGCGAATGCTCCTTCGGAGAACTACTTCGACCGGAAGCATTGTTTCTCCGTAGTAGCGCAGGTGGTGGTGGACCTGGACTTGCGCATCACGGACGTTTTCGTCGGTTACCCAGGGAGCTGCCATGACATTCGGGTGCTTCAGCTCTCCAGTCTGTGGGCGCGTGCGAAGGAGGGGGATCTTTTTCGTGGAGCTCCTGTTGTGCTGCCGTTCGGAGTGACGACACACGGTTACATTCTGGGCGACAACGGGTATCCGCCGCTGGAGTGGATTGTCGTGCCGTACGGGGGGACCGATCAAATCCCCAACGAGAAGAGGTTCGACAACAAGCAAAAGGTCGCCAGGGGAGTAGTGGAGAGAGCTTTCGGGAGATTGAAAGGGATGTGGAGGTTGTTCCTCCGCACACACAAGACAAATATGGACACTCTCCCACAACAGTTCCAGGCCGTGTGCATTCTGCACAACATCCTCCTTGACGCTGGCATGGAGTTCGACGACAACTTGTTGTGGGAGGTCGATGCTAATGGCGTGCGGCGACGAGTGGACTTGGGGTTGGATCATCCACCCCACCCCATTGCTGAGAACTTCAATCGGCCCCGTGCGTTGGCGCTACGCGAGGCGTTGGCGGAGAGGATGAAACACGCGTGAAGGCGCGCACCGCGTCGATGGCACGTGGCTCTGCCGTCCTTGTGGAGGTCGTTCTGTGTTATGTCCAACGGAGGCATTCTATGTTATTTAGTTGTTGCAGGCGTGTGCCATGCCCTGGGGTGTTGTGTACGTTCAGTGCGGGTTGTCATTGATCGCTAGTGTCGCGGAGCTGTCGTCGGAGACGCTGTTCATCCGCAACTCTTTTTCGTTTTTTTTTGTTAAACATTTTGTAGTAGGTTTTTGGCGATTGGTGATGCGGTTTGTTGTGAGTGGGTGCGCGCAGCTGCGCAATTTCGTTTTCGAAGAAGACGGTGTGTGTCGGCGGGGTAATCAGTCCGGAGTGGAGTTCCGGCTGCGTGTGTGCGTCTATCGGTGTTGTGTGAAGATGTTGTGATTTCGTGTATGTGATTGCAATCGAAATGTCTTTTTTTCCTATTTCTTTTTTTTTTCGTTTCATTGTCTTTGTCGTTTTTTTTTTTTTTTAAGTCTTCGTGTTGTGGTTTGTATGTTAGGGGCGATGTGTGCGCCCTCCATTGATCTGTTGTCTCCTCAGGACGACTGGAGCGTGAATGCGTTTTTTTTTTTTTTTTCCGCAGTTCACAGTGCGCTTTCATCGACAATCTAAAACCCAGTCCACCAGGAATGCCCGACCTCGCGGAGCATCACACCCTAGCTTGGACGAGTCTGGCGGGCAACCGATCAACCGATCATTGGATCAGTTCATCGGCTTGCCGGCAAAGCTGTTCGTCCTGAGGTGCGTAGATCATACGTATCATCCCATTGGAAACCGACGACAGTTCCAAAAAATCACCCTATCAGCACGAAGAAAAGGACATTCACACCAAACAGGAGAAAGTGAGATTTCAGGGAACGCATCGTCATATTCCAACGGGACACACCGTTCATTTGCTAGGGTAGGTCGAATTAACACACTCGCACATGATCATCATTGCCATCGCAGTGGCAAACAACGACCGTTCCAAACAAAAAAACAATCACCACGAAGAAAACGACATTCACACCACTCACGAAAAAGAGAGATTTGAGGAAACGCTTCATCACATTCCAATGGGACACACCGTTCCATTGCTAGACTCCATCCAATGAATACACTCGCTAAACCCTATCGACATCGGACTGTCGTTTTCAACAAAGAACAATAAAAGGCGCCGCTCGTCATTCCTGGCGCAGACCAACCATCGCACTGACTTCACAATGCACCTTCAAATACCCTACAAAGCCGACCTCTGTCGGAGGTCGGTTAACAGCTACCAAGCGCCTTTGGGAGACGAGACACTGCGCGCGTGCAGCGGGGCGAAACAGGAACACAATCTACGAAGGGGCCCTCTCGTGGCGAAACGCGTCAATGCATGCAAATCATCTGCGGTCGTCGCCGTCATCCCCCGACTCCGAACATCCATGTGCCC